AAGGTTAGATGACATTCTTTTTGTTGTTGATTTGCTATGCAATTAACATTTTAACAAATATGTCTGCATAATATTGTACAATATCAACCAATATGTCATTCTTGACTCATACACAACGTATCATGAAAATGTCTATTTCCCCTCAACCCACCATCTAACCTAGTAAATTGCACAAAGACGTGGGATTAGGAACTCAGAGTGGCGAGCAGAGCAAAATTTGTGCAGTGTTGGGTTGCAATGTGGAGAGACTGATGGTCTTAGAGATCTCGTGTCTGGAAATTCTACACTATTAATTCTAGGAAGAGGCAAAGTGTCTTTTATTTCGAATTTGAGTTTGTGGAAGATGCCTAGTGAGGTACTATTCTGCGATGATGCCTAGAACTACAACAATGACCGCAATGAAGAAGAATTAACTGACTATCTTATCTTACGATATCAGTTTACGAGCTAGTTGTGGTATTAGCTTCTTTGTATCAATGGACATTTCCCATCAACCATTCAAGATTTAGCAAGAGCAGGTTTGACATATGACATCTCCGACTAGTCCATCTACTACTACATGCAATGATGCGGACAATCTTTGGATTGAACGAAATTACCAAGTGATTCGTGACATTGATAATAAAATTTCTAGAGTATCTTATAAGAATCATATGGTTGAGATCGAGATTTCCTGGGCTCACTCTGTCATTTGGACCAACCATAGTATATAGGATGGTTCAATATAGGATCTCGTTGGATGCCACTCGATCCTCTTGCTCATTTATGTTTAGTTCCTCCTCTATCTATGTTGAACGTTTGATCCCCTACATACAAACCATTGTTTACTTCATAGTATATTTATTTGCCTCGACGAGGAATTTTTAAGTCAAACAAATACCACATTTGTATAACTTAACTCCCATTTCCTGTCTAGATAGTTAAGAACCTCTTGTACATAACATTTCTTCAATAACAACTTAAGAAAAAAACTTCCTAAATGTCCATAAAAAAAACCCCACACTTTTTGATGCCTATGGATTTTCACCCCATGGGACTAAAAAATGGACCACTCATATTATGAGAAAGACAAGACAGACAGCAAACCAGACATATATTCTAATTAGTGGCCAAGAACTTGGTTTCTGGTCTGTTGTAGGCACAGCAACAGCCCACTACAAAAACTGAAAAGAGAGATTGGCCAAAAAAAAGCCACAAATACAAAGCTACATACATAGGAAATCCGGTTTTTTTGGGTGGAAAAACTGAAAGAAGAATCAAAATAAAAAAACATTGGCAATGTCAGCATTCAAAAAACATGGCAGCAATTAATCAACTAACAACTCCACTAATATCCCACAGGTTGCCCCTTTAATTCTTTTCCTCATTTCATGACAACAAATTGAAATTGTGGTGTTTGTAATGTGACAATAGATAGACAAACACAACTCACTAAGCACCCATTTGAATTATAGTTTCCTTTTTAACAAAATTTGAGGGGGAATAAGAAACATCTATTAGAACCATTGTTAGCTAAGTATTGAATTGGGCAATGCCAAAAATTAAAGTTTAAATGTTGTGGAAAAAACTATGTCTTTGGTATTACATACTTATCAAGTTAAAAGACTATTATGCTACAAAATCAACACGATCTAACACCCCTTCTTCTCGTGTTAAATGATGTATGCTCATCGGACAATCATATGCAAGAAAACAAGGGAAGGAGTGGCACAATGAGATAGAAGATAATTAATTGAGTCTGGATGGTGAGAACCATGAGCTTGCTCGTAGGCGACCTAGTTAGTCAGCTTGCAAGATTTTGGCGTCTAGGAGTGAAAATCCCCTTGATAAAATCCAATCAAGCAAGATATCCTTCATGCTAGAGATATTGTGGATTGGATGGGTAGGACTTAACTAGGTTAATGCAATTCAAAAGAACAACAACATGAAAACCAGAGGGTTTCGCTGGATCAAGAGCGACAAGCATTGTTTTAATATGGACAACGAGTCAATCCTACGGCCACAAATTTGTCCATTGGAATTAGAGACAACATCACATAAGTCACCTAATTAGTAATTAGAGAAATGATACAAGGAAAACCCCCTAGTTGTTTTCAACATGAAACTAAGACCTAGCTAGGTAATCTACCAAAACGAAGAAACCAAGAATAGCTACTGGTAGCTAGTAGGCAGCCCTTGGGGTTTGTTACTGTGGAGAAAATTTGATGTCACCAATTATGGAGGGAAGCATGCCCTTAATACAGGACAACTGGCTCTTCTTTTGGTAAAAAAAAAAAGGGAAAACAGGTTCACCAAGAAACCAGGAAGATAAGCTGGGAAAAATAAACATAGTAATGGTCTCATCTCATCATTCTTACGTTGAAAATTCTGTTTGATCCACCCCATTTTTAACAGTTACTTAACTTCATGTTCTATATAAAATGCCAAATTTTCTAGGAGTTTGAGGCTACAGAGACTTTGTTTCCTAATTTGTTGCGGTCCAGTTCATGTGACCAACTTCCCAATTCTTGTCCTCCTACCTCATTTTGGTACCTGCACCCTGGGGATATTTGTTTATTAGGGTTTGTAGAACTTCGAGTTTACCCATGAAAACCGTTCTTTTCCTTTGTCATTTGGATTGGTAGAGAGCATAGGTGGCCACCAATTCGGGGTGGGAGGCATACGTTGCACAGGCTGATATCGTTAGATCGCATCATATGTGTCTTCAGTTTGTGGTGGTCAGTGTGTTGATCCAATGGTGGTGAAAAAAACAAGAGAAAAAGGAAATTCAGCAATATCGATTTGTATAAATGCCCACTCCCGTACTTACAAAGGCCGAGACTTACTCGAGGTGACGATTTTGATAGCGAATATCAAGGTAATACCGAAAGGTAAGAACTCGAGGCAGGTGACGCATGTCATTTGGCTGGATAATCAGGATCAAGGGTGACATAGCCGAACGACATAAATCCAGCCCGTAACAAAAACTTTAACAAATCCATTGCTCACTCATAAAGACCAAATCATCTATCTTTATGAAGACAAATACCTTATCATCCTAACTTGAAAAACAAGCTAACCAATTCTAACATATTTCTATCTTTTATCTCTCTTTGATTCTTTTATCAACATTATCGTTGTTATAGGTCAATCCAATGGTCGAATTTGCTACTTACACGTCTTTCTCCTCGGAGAACCAATCCTCTTCTCTTCTAGTTCTTCCACTATGTTCATGCATCTTATTGATAAATCTTGTTGATCCGATCGTCCATTGTTATTAATCTGGCCCTGAAAATGGTCGAAATAAATAAAAAAATTAGAATTGTAAAAACTCAAGTAAAAACACGGTTGCATAATTAATTTTTGAATATCTTTATTCAACTTTTAAATAACACCAATGGAGACGCTCAATCATCAAACATGGTTGCTTGGCTATGAGTACTCAATAATCTTCCTAAGAAACCATGAACATATTGATATACTAGGTTAGAGAAAAAGAGAGAAAAAAGGTGGAATGTGTAGAATTGCCAATTGGTACACGAAGTATTTCTTTCTCTCTCAAGATTTTCACTTTCTTCCCTTTTTCCATTCTCCTTTCCACTTTCCGCCTTTCTAAAGTCTACAAAGGCCAGCACTGCCTGTGAATCATCATCAGAGACAATCCAGTTTTTACACCCAACGCCCAAGAAATATCTCAAGTAAAGAAATAGTTAAACAGAGGGAGAGAGTTCAGTTTCATCATGGTAATAAGTTAATAATAATGCCCACCCACCCCACATGCCATGTAAAAGCACTACACAAATGAACAGTGGGAATGCCCTACCCTTCCAAAAATCACAGATACTTGTTCATTTGGCTGTTGAGATGAGATTGAGTTGAGTTTGTTGAACACATTTAAGCACTCCTTGATTGTATCACGTATTCTCGACATAAAACATGAGACGACATACTTTATCTTGTTTCAGAGACGTTCTTATTTGTCATAGTACCATTAGATCAATACAACGTGTTTATTGCATGATAAGTAAAAGGTTGTTCAACAAGCAAGTTTATAATCACAAACTAAACTCTATCGGTCTAATTTGATTCTAAAAGAAATAATTGCCACTTGATAGGGTTGCAATTAGACCTTGAAACCACCCAATGCAACCCTAACTATAAGTTCTTTCACAACTTAAAGGTGTTGCATCTCAAAGTGTTGATTGAATTCCATCAAAATTCTGAAACTCAAAGCGTTTAGAAGAGAGTATGCCTTAACCAGACGACCACTTGAGAAGTTTTGGCGTCGCATCTTCTCTTTTCGTTCACGTATTGGTCTGATTTCAGACAAAATGATTACAACTTGAAGGTGTTGAGAATCAGACTAAATCCAACCAACGCCCGTCCTAATTATCAGTTTCTTTAACAAAGGAGGAGGATGATGAGAAGAAGAAGAAGGTCACGTGCAAAGGATCCAATGCCTACCACCTGCAGCAGCTTCAGACTGCCACACTCAAAACTTTCAGAGTTCCAAAATTTTACCACAAAAGATAAATAACTGAGAAGGGCTACTAAACTAAAGCCAAAGCCAAAGCCAAAGCCAAGGAGAGAGTAGAAAAGAGGGTGATGGTGGTAGTAGTAGTGGTGGTGCCTTGGGCTCGCCAAATATTCCTCCTTTTGTGAACTGTAATGTTCCATTTTCTTCTGCATCGTTCTGGTCAACAGTCAAAGATCCATAAACAAAAAACAAAACCTAAAGAAAACCAGTTGGTGGGTCATTTTTTTTTCTTCCTGCAGAAGAGAACAAACATGGAGCTTGAGAGAGATGAGTCAGCTTGTTGAGCCGCACGAGGGGATCCAAAACCCCTTTCACTCATGGCCATACGTGGGCTCTTTTCTTTTACTTCTCCATACCCACCACTTTGCTCTGTGTCAGAAAACAAAGTATATTTATAGGGCTCTCAGCCCCATTTCTCTCATATGGCCTATTTGTTATATTTCTGCAGCAGCTCTGCAGTATTTTTTTAAGGCTAAGGTCATGTGCCCCTCTCCCTTCCCCACTCATCATGTGAATTTGCAGCAATCTCAATTCCAAGAACATGTTTTTACTGATGAATCTCAACCACAGGAGTGTGAAAGATGGAAAAGAAAAAGGAAGAACAGTATCCAGTTGAATGCATAGCTTATAAAACATATAATGAAGAAGGCTGCAATCATGGTTTCTCATATTGATTCTTGGGTTGAAAGTTTTTGGTATTGCTAAGCCGCCCACCGGTTTCTGGCCGGTGCTGGAGACATATGATTAGAATGATTATTTCTCACCCCCTCTGACATTTGGTTTGTTGCAGAACAGCAGAAGGCTGGTGTGAATGGCCTTTTGCAACCCCCATGATCAATGATAATGTTGTTAATCTGTGGAGTAGTAAACTAATCCTGTTATTCTGAGGAACCATCTAGTGACATGGTGTGACAAAGTTGCAAACTTTGATTAATGGTAATTATACAGTTATGATGTTTGTGTATGTCTTCAGGGATTGCCTGTTCCGGGTTTCGTTCGTTTGAGATGTCTATACAGTGAACTGATATACAATAAGGCAACTTACAGAGTATGGTATGGGATTGGATCTAAACCTGCTGATCAGGGTTTCTGAGCTGAGAACATGATGAACGATCGTTGAACTTTCATGGTGTAGTTTGTAAGACCACAGGACTTGCACAAGTCTTCGATTTCCTCTTCTATGAAGTAATTGTACCTTGCCAGAAATTGCTGCCATGGATGCGTAATAATTTAGTTTAGTCAAAAGCATGCACCATTGTTGTTAGAAATAGTATACACTATACAGTTCGTGATGCACTTAATCTCGATTTATATATCAAGCATTCACAATTCTTTTCATCATAGTTGTTGAATCACTGATCATTATGAAATTAAGGATGGATATGCCATATGTAAATGAACTGATCTACCTGTCTGAGAGGACGTGCTATTACTGGTGTCGAAGAAGTGTAACGAAGAAAAGTGGTTCCAACAAAGATTCCGCCGCTCCTCAATACACGACATATTTCAGAAATCTGCAAATCTCAAGAAAAAAATGCTTCAGGAGAACATTTTGGTAGCATATTGCAATATCGTTGCAGGAGGTCTGAAGTAGAAATGAGAGATTTCAGAACTTGCAGCATAAAGTCAGTCGGAGAATGGTAGGATAGCCTTACAGCATTGGAAGGAGCTGGCCAGCAATGCAAGGCAGCACCGGCATGAACAGCATCGACTGAACCTGAGGCGAATGGGAGCCTTGAAACATCTGCTCTCACCAACGCCAGATTTCTGCACATTTCAAAACACTTGGCGTTCACTTGATAAGAACAAATTTGAACGATCGAACTGTCTAAGCAAGGCCAGGGAACCTTACGCATCTGAGATAGTGCCTTCTGCCTTTATGAAATCATAACTCTGGCGGAGCATGTTTTCAGAAAAATCAAGTGCAACAACTTTAGAATAGGTCCCAGATTTGGCAAACTTCCTGGAAAACAAACCACTGCCACAGCTGACATCAACTAGAAGGCCACCTTCTGCTGGTTTGAAGTACTCCTGAGCCATTTTGAACTGCATTGCCAAAAAGTAATCGTGAAATGAATCCGCTTCAATACACGGTTTTCATAAAGAGACATCCAAAACAGAATGTCAATACAGTTTCTTTCACTAGAGCTAGTGATGATCAAGGAGCAAGTTGAACTAAGAAGATCAGACAAACCTCTTCATCTGGACCAGGAAACCCACTTCTGTCAAAACTTTGACGCCACCCTCGCTCATACAAGAATGAAACAAGGGGACTCCTGCAAACATGACAACAACCAAGGGGGGAAACATTCATTTATAGGATAGAAGTCTTCCATGATCGCCAGCCCGATATTCAACAAAGAAGCCTTTCATATTATAGGAAACAGACCAAAACTGAACATTTCACAACCCCACTCCTGAGAATCCTTTCAGTTCCAAGAAATCCAAATGTGGCAGAATGGCTTCATGATTGTCAGACCATGAGGCTTACTTATGCAGTCCCTTCTCATATAATTTTTTTGAAAGCATAAATACTATGTGCATCTATGATTGTGAGTAACTGTTTATGCTCACCTGAAAAGCTCAGTCCCCATTGGCATGGCTTCAGTGTAACTCTTCATTCCAGCAGTAACCGTAAGATCAAGGTAGTTGTCCTTGCTAGAATACGTTTTGTTGCAGTTTGCACACTTGAAGCCCGAACGGTAGATTGCTGCCCTGAATTTATTTGCGATTCAGCACCCACGATGATGAACAGACAGTAGAAACAAGTGTCTATATAGTATGATAGTCCATCCACTTACAAGTTAAAACCAGAAGGGCCTTTTCTTATCAGAGGTTCATAACACACTGGGCAGGCGAATACATCGACATACTCATTTGGACCAAGTTGTGCTCTTGATTCCTGCAAATCCAGAAGTTCTTACTTTGTCCCAGCAAACAATCAAACAAAACAAACACACAGCATCCTTCAGGGGACCAACTGCTACTTCATCATATTCTAAAATGACTATATATCCAGCCCCTATCCTATTCACACAAGAAATGAGAAAATTGCCTTCCCTGCTTAGTAGTCATCAGCAATTGTGCAAACAATCTTGAAACATAAGCCTTAAAGATCCCAAATCGAGATTTGAGAGTCGTGAATTTTGCAAACAAATCGATGATCAAACAGCATCCAATTAGAAGGGCTCATTCAACTTCTTCAATTAACGAATGAATTGAATAACGTAGCAACGAACCTTTCGCCAACTTCAGTACCACCAACTCCAGACATTCCAAACAATATACAATTCCAACTTTGTAACAGAAATTGAAGAACCCAATTGAGAAAAGCTTCGAACTTTGAAGTGAAAACGAGGTGGGTAAACAGTATCAAGCACACCTGTTCGACGGCGACGGCGCGAATTGTGGTGGAGGCAAGCAGGCGGCGGGGGCGAAATGACTGGGGGAGATGGAAATTGCGAGAGAGTGGAGGGCTCTTTAGTGGCAGAGCTTGGCGTAGATGAGAAGAGGAAGAGGAAGACGAAGACGACGGAGCGACCACAGCAGCCATTGCCATGGTGATGTTTTTCCTTGCTGTGAAAGGATTCGCAGCTCGTTCGCAACTTATGGGGCTACGAACAATCTCATTTCCATGTAGGAGTCTCTTTCTAGGTGTGTAGCTGCGTGCTCGTTAAGCCCGTCGGCCGTCATGCGATCGTTGATGAACCACGTTGGTTTTTCCTTGTTTCCAACTGTATCAAACAAAAACTAAAAAGTTATGGTCTTGTTGGTCTCTTTATTTTCTCAATTTCGCCCCAAAAATATTATAAAAAAATGCAATTTCTAAAAAATTCTTGCCGACATAATAATCGTTATTAACTTATTATAACTTAAATCATGGTGTCCTCTATTTGTTTTCAATATGATTTTTATATATTTATTTACCATCACAAACAATTTCATAATTTTACATATTAAGAAATTGCTTAGGATCAAATGCATAACCTATAGTTATGTGTCTGTGCCTCAACTATATCCCCTTAACTAGATTTAAACCCGGCCCGTTGGCAGGATACATTTATCAATAATATAAATAATAATAGAAATTATCGAAAGGAAATATATTTTTATTTTCTATCATAAAAGAGTCCAAACAAAAATCAAATAAAGAAAAGAAAAAAATCAAATAAAAGAGTCCAAACATTTCATTCTGGGAAAAATGATAAATAAAACAATAAATTTCATAATTATTTGTGACATGCTAAACGATTCAACTAACGCCGCCATTATTAAAATTAAAAAAAATCATGCAAGGAAATCAATCTTACAAAATGTGTTCAATTGAAATAACATGTAGATAGAGAAATGACTGTAAATTTTCTCTTGGACTTCACGATTACTTCGTCATTAGCATTATCATCGCTACCAATAACGCCTTCTTCTACATTCATGACATCTCTATTTCCACTATCATAATATCTTTTTTGTGCTTTTGCATTTGAACATTCTCTTCCTTCTTTTGCTAAAAAATTTTAATGCTAAAACTTATTGCAAATATGAAATATAGATATTATTGCTTTCAAGTAATTAATACTATTTGATAATTATTCTTTCTCGCTAATACTGATACTTCTATATCGTAATTAACTATCTCTTCTTTCATCTCAACAACTTCATTATCTCTATCACCTAATGTACTACATCCACTATTAGAAGACTCTTCTTGTCCTACATATAATTGAAAGCTAAAATCTTAGTAGTAATATATTTACAAATGTGAAACACCATTTTTGCTAAACTTTAAAAAAAACATCTTCCAAAAATATTTTTCATACTATTTTAGTTCTTAGTACGTATTACATGCACATATAAACTTTCCTCTAATTAATCACTTAAACTTTTAAAGTCAATCCGAATGGGTTGGAAATAAATGTTAGCTTGGTGTGGGAGTTAACAAAACAAATGTTTATATTTTGGTTGGGGTGTAGCGTATGATGAAACATGTCTATAATATGTGATATGTTTTGTGTGACTTATAAGGTATAACTATCGTTCACATTCGTCCTTAGGTCGATCGTTTCAAAGAAACCTGTCTTTACAAATAGAAATTGTAGTCATGTATTTTATATGGCGGATGAAGGTCTATAGTATCGGAGTCAAATGCTTGATCTTATGGTTGTTCAAGTCGGCAAACTTGATGTGAAGGTTGACCTTTTGATTAGCGTAATATTTTTCTTGTTATAATCTATTTACTGATAAATAATGAATACATAAAAAATAAAATGCAATAACCTTAAACTAAAAATAGAAAGAGGATTTTGCCAAAACGAAAAGAAGAAGCCCAAACTTTGTAGCTGCCTCACGCCTCACTGGAACAAATAAAAGAGATAAAAAGCAAAAAATATAAAAAGACATTAGTAGCCTCCCGTGAGATGCTCTCAGAGCTCTAATTCATAATTTAGCCCACTCTTCACCCGGAATCTCCTTATATAAGTGGGTGGGTAGAGGTAGATTTTAAGTGGGCTCATATATGACAGTTGATATTAAAAGATTTTTTTTTAATTCTCCTACTTGTTTTAATCGATTTGTATATTTTTTAACTTAAATTTTAAGAAATTTGTACAAAAGAAACCGATTTTTCTAGTTTCAACTTTTAATATATTTTGAGATTCTTTTACTACTCATCAACATGGTCTACCATTTCTTATCACCTTCGTTTTAACTCGAAAATGTTGAACAAATGTGACTATTAAAACATGTTCATTATAACTTACAAAACGATGTCAAACCCTCTATAATTTCATAAAAAAAGGTACCAATTATTGTGACCTCTACCAATAGTGGTAGATGATGGTAGACCATGTTAAACGATGGTACATGGTGGTTAATATTTTCTACCACCATAAAGACCAGCAATGTACACTATGTTATATTTCTACATATAATCTTTTGTATCAAGTTCTACCATCATATTATTCTGTGGTAAAATATGTCTCAACTTTAAAAAAAATATATAATATATATTAAACCAGCTGAGATATAATCCATTACATTTTATGAAAAATAGTTGTACATAACGAGTTGCTCCTAGATTTGAAATGAATTAGCCATCCATGGTTAGGCCAAATCCGCACGAAAGTAACATCAAAAGTGTGTTACATGCCATGAACCAACGACTAGGTGTAAGTTAGTGTTATTTTGTATGATCTTTAACAACTATCACAACTCCAGTACTATCATTGTATGGAACACATATTTGAATTGTGAAATTTAACTTAGTCACGAGGCTCAATGGTTCATAAAAAACACATGATTTTGTTTCATATAAATAGTAATTTAGCAGAGAAAGAAATTGTACTTGGCAATCCAATCCAAGTCAAATACATTGCATTTTTTCTTCATAATATCATTTTATGAGATATTGGTGTAAATTAAATATTTTCTTGTGACTATATTAGATTATGCAAAGCGATATGCCTAGAAGTAACAGACGAAACAATATATCGCTTTGTATCAATATTCATTGTGGTTTCAGTGCTCGCTGCCAACTATTTCTTCTCCTCGTGCAGAAGATTTGGTATCGTGAACTTCGGTTATGGCTGTTAGTAGGAAGGTGGGAAGATGGTTTCCTTGGAAAATAAAAACATTGGGAGAATTGATGTGATAATGACTAGCACGATATTTAATTCTCGTGGTCCAAAAATAAAAGCTCGAATTAAACGATTTAAAGATCAACTAGGAACGTTCTTAATAGATATTTGTCATTAGTATCAAGTCCATCCACGCTAGCAACTAGCCTGGATTGCGGTTGGGATTCGGTGTTTTCGTGGAGGTTTGTGGCTACCTTGGGAGCTTCTGCTCTTCTTCGAACATGATCTCTCTGCCTCGGCCTCCTCTGCCTCTTCAGCTTGGAGCATTCTGGTTATATCATCTTCCACCGCCATGCAGTCTAGTTTCTAGATTCACTGTGTTGGATGCCTTTGAGTTTTCCCCAGGAGGCGGCACATGGAGTGATGATGTTCAACTACCATGGATTTTGATATGATCGGACAAGCAGATTTGGTTTTGTTGCACTTTGATTGGTTGTTTGCAAGAGAGATTCTTGATGATCTGTTTTCGGTCAAGGGTTTTGCTCTTTTCGGATGGTTACTTGCAGACTGTGTTTTGTTCTCTGTTGCTGCATTTTGTCTTTCACAGATTTGTTTGTAGCCGGATGCCTCTGGGCTTTCTATTGTTGGGAACCAGATTGTTGGTTCGTTCTCTCTCATTGTAACTGATCAGTTTGAAGTGCAATAAAATCCCCTCTGAAAAAAAAAAAAAAAGTAGCCTGGATTGAAGTGGACCATGCGTTTATTAATGAAGCATGAGGAACAAAGCGTGGCCACGTGGAAAAAAAGAATGCATTGGGTTAATTGTTTAGTTTGGTTGGTGGGTAATGGCAACGTGGAGAAGTGCATGAAATGGTGTGGGATTAATTGGTGACTCCTCCATTTTGTGGAAGCAAAGGAGAATGAAGGACGTGTGGAGTCCAGAGGGATAAGCTTCCGCCACCGGCTCAAGATAGGGTGCATAACCATGGGTTATGCACCCATCAATAACCAAATCTGGACCCTTCATTTAGAAAATTCAGATCTAAGGATGGAGAATTAAAGACTATTTTTATTTTCACTAGCTTTCTTAATTGACTCATATCTTTTTCGTTTTAACTCGGATTTTAATTTTTTTTGCACAGATGGAACGAGTTCACCGTGCTCTACAAAATGAGATCAATTTTCAATATTTTTTTAGGAAAAAAAAGTTCTGGCCTCTCGGTACCAACTGCATACCATATGGTATCTTCTTCGTTTTTAATTCGTTTTTGGAAACGTTTGCACAGCAGGGATGAGTTCATCATGATCTACTGGATCTACAAATTTCTGGGTGAGCAAATTACAGGACCAAAAAATACCACACAATACCATACAATACCACCCTGGTACGGGGTGGTATTGTATGGTATCTTCTTCGTTTTTAATTCGTTTTTGAAAACGTTTGCACAGAAGGGACGAGTTCATCATGATCTATTGGATCTACAAATTTCTGGGTGAACAAATTACAGGACCAAAAAATACCATACAATACCACCCTGGTACGGGGTGGTATTGTGTGGTATACAATGTTAAAAGTCGTAAATTACAATTAATATACTTCTACTATCATATATTCAACCATCCTACAGTATTGGTTTGTTCATACCACCATGGTACGTTTTTCAAAACATAGGTATGCTTTTATTTCAATACCAGTCAATACCATATGGTATAGGCTGGTAAAAAATGGCTCAATTTTTTTTGTTCGAAAAATATATTAAAGTGGATATCATTTTGAAGAGCACAATTAATCTGATCTAACTGTGCAAAAAAAATTAAATTTCGACTTAAAATGAGCGAGAAATCGTCCGTCAAAGATTAAAGAGGGAAAAATTAAAAACTTTCCATGAGAGAGAGGATGCTGATGTCATGCTGATGTGGACGGGTTACTCATGGTTACTCACCATAAGGTTACTCACCTGATCCATTCCACCAGCAATGAAAACGGAACTCGCAGTCCGCAAAGGAAAAGGAGAGGTGCGCGCCAACTGCAGCGTGCTGTGCAATTTAGATTTATTTGTTTAATTAGTTTATGTGTTAAATTAAATATTATGTTTTCTATTTAGTTTTGAATTTGTTTTCCTATTTCTTTTAGATTAGTTTTTATATCTCTATAAATAGAGGATGTAAGAGCTACGAATTTGGTACCCAATAACAAAGTTATCAATCAAAGTTGAGTT